CCCCTCCAATCTTTGGCCACCATGTCAACATTCACTATATAACTGCATAGCTTGGATCATGCTAAAAGGCCAGCTTTACTGCACAGCCTGCCAAGGCCAATATAATAGTTAGATGGCAGAAAAAGTGGAGACCGTTCAGTTCTGAGAGAGAAAGATCTCTGTAGGTAACAGATGTAACTATGTAACTATGTAACAACTCGGTCAGGCTATTATCTGCATTCTAATGCAAAAAAGCTTTTTATGTGTGCCATAATGTATCACTCCATATCCTAATGGAAAAGTTGAGCGCCTTCTATATATGGGTTTGGCACTCTGCCGGCAAAATGCTTTTATTATAAGCAATGTTTCCAGATGGAGATTATGCCATATGCCTGTCAACTGTCTTAAAGGAAAACAATAATGGTTTTGGGTCAATGTTGTTTTTAAAGGGAACCTGTGCTTTGCTCATACTGAGATGATTATCGGATTTACTCCAAGTGCATTTTATATATTACTGTTTACTAATTCATAGATGTGGTGGCTGCATTAGTTTCCTGTTTTTAGGCTTTTTGTCCTTTATATTTACATGGTGGTCCTGCCAGTAAAACACTTCCTGTCTTAGGGTGGCTCTACTCCACGGAGGAGCAGTGAAACCACCCTTGGACGGCAGCAATGCCATCCTGTGGAGAGTGTAGTGTAAATGGACTAGCAGATTTTGGTGGACTTGACTAACATATTAAAAGAGAACTCTGGGGTACGTGTTTTTCCCCATAGTTCTCTTAAGTGTCACAGGAGGACATATACAAGCATCCTGCCGTGACCCAAAGCTCTACCACGAGCTACAGCGAGCGGTATACTGAGACTGCCGCAGCCGGGACGGATCCCGACATTACTGTCGAGATCCACCCAGCTGCGTGAGTGACAGCGGGCTCTGCCTATCTAGAGTCAGAGCCAGCTGTACCCGCCCCCTCCCCTGTCCGTTCCTCCAGTCAGCGCTGGAGGATCGTAAACGGAAGGGGGGGGGGGGAATCCCTGCAGGGAGCCGTGACTCACAGTCACTGCTCTCTACAGGGAGATGATCGAGAAGTGAGCAAGCGACAGTATGTGTTCGCTCACTTCCCGATCTATTGAGCCGACGTGTGACAGTTTCATTGTCACACGTCGGCTCGGACTATGAGGATGAGTGATTTTCACTCACCTCATAGTTCTCCTTTAAATCTGATCTCCAGCTAATATTTTTTAGCAGTTTTTTCTTTTGAGATCAAGGTTTTACATAAATTAATAAAATCCAACCATTGCAAGCACACCTGTCAGTTTTAAATGGTTTATTCCAACCCTCTAGCTGCCACTTTTGCTGGTCAGCTTGGCCTGGTAAAAGAAGTTGAAAAATAGTTATATGTGTACCCAAGCTTTTCGCCTGGACATAATAACAAAGTTAGTGTATTTTCAAGTCCGATTGTAGTTAATCTAAAATGTTTACAGATACATTAGGATTAATGGAAGAGATGTATAAAAATCAGGCAATTGTTTTATGCTAATAGAAGAGAAGAAAAAATAACACATGTACACATACTTGGAGTTCAGCTTTCAGGTCCACCGCTCCCCTTTGCTGCTTCTATAAAAAAAAAAAAAAATCTTATTGCCTTGGAATATATAACTGTTGGCTAGTGCAGACTCCAGGTTAGCTTTAGGTCTGATTTCAACACTGTACATTAGCTCCCAAAGCTTTTATTCAACCTCAAATACTATGTAACTATGTAACTATGTATGTATGTGAGGAGTTGCAGTGAAGTAGGACATCTTTAGCATCCCTACAGCTGTGCATGCTTTATAAAGTTTGTCAAGAGTTGACTGACATATGTCACATGAGATGTTCTCCTCCTGGGTACTTCAGAGGGTTCTGTATTTCTGCAGCTTATTGTTGACTCATTTTCCTCATTGAGTTTGCTGTACCGAAATCATGACATATGCAAAATTTTGGCTGAACCAGATAACTAAAGCAGCATTAAATTTTATTTTATTTATGTCAAAAGACACATGGGGCAGTCGTATTTGCTGAATATACATGCTAGCTCTGCTTTCTGCTTCCTTGATTCTGAAGCTTCAGCAAGAAATGTTTATATAGTTTTATAACCTCCATTGTGGCCGGTTCTCCCTAAAGTTCAACTCCAGCCAGATGTTTTTCCAGTTTTGATTAGAATAGGCAAGAGTTAAAGCCTCTGTTACCCCCAATCTTTGTCCCCATTGAGGAGATTCACCCACACTTCCTTCAGTGGCAGTGTGAGTAGAACTTTCTGTTTCCATTCTTTCCAATTGAGGATTTAGGGACGGTGGATCCAAGTTTGTTCTCCATAGAAATATGAGAACACCCTGCAGAGAAAGGGATACAGGCGGTCTTGCTTACTTTTGACAGGAAGCAGGAGTAAGTCTCCCTAAAAGGCACACAGCGCTAAAAACCTTATTAAGAATTTATTCCTTACCCACTGCATCCAAAACGAAAAAATATTTTGAATGCCGCACAACCTTATCACATACATTGTGATTTAGCATAATGGTTAGATCGGGGCTGGACAAATCCTGGGCGCCAGGTAGCCAATGCTCCTTAAAAATTACAGCTGGCACCAAACCTTATAGGTTTTCTCTAGTGGTTGTCAATGGTGCCGGTGCCTGGATTGGACAAACTGGCTCCTTGATTCCATATTAATTTGTCCAACCCTGAGTTAGATGCAAGCAACCATTTTATTATTGATTTATCGGTTATATAAGTAACAGCGTTCACCACTGCATAATAAAACTGAAGCATGTTCCTGAATAGCCAGAGGTGTTTAACTGCATTGTCCATATTTGCCCAGGTTCATTATAGGCCGTGAGAAACCGGGACAGATTAGTGAGGTCGCCCAGCTAATCAGCCAGACGCTGGAGCAAGAGCGCCGTCAGCGGGAGATGCTGGAACAACACTATGCACAGTATGACGCAGATGACGATGAGGTAATAACGCTTTTCTACATTTGAAGGGGTTGCTTTAAAGTTACACTATATGGATTAAAGAATGTGGACACCCCTCCAAATTAGTGAGTTTAGGTGTTTCCATTAAAGGTATTGTTAATGCTACAGCATCCAAAGACAATTTAGATAATTGTGAGCTTCCAACCTTGTGGTAAAGACCTTTTTCTGTACCGGCATGACTGTACCACTGTGCACAACACCAGCTCCATAAAGACATGTATAAGCAGAATTATTGTCTACGGGCAGAGTAGAATGCTGGAAGGCTTTGTTTTGATACGCATAATGCAGCAGTAAGAAAACCTTGACATAAAGACATGGTTTGATGAGTTTGGGGTGGAGGAACTTGGGTGGCCTTCACAGAGCCCTGACCTCAACCCTACTGAACACTTTTAGAATCAATTGGAATTCTGATTGCAAGCCAGGGTTTCTCATCCATCATCCGTACCTGATATCACAAATGCTCTTCCTGGAAGAGTCTAGGCCGTTATAGTCACATGGGGGACAACTCCATAATTATACTCATGTTTTTTGCAATAGGATGTCCACAGTACATATAGGTGTGATGGTTAAGTGTCCACAAACATTTGCCTATATAGTATACATAGAGAGCATGAACTGTGACTAAAAATGTCAACCTTATTTACTGAGACCTAAAGCAATGTGGAAGTACTGTAACCAGTCAGTAAACTACAATTGTTTTGCCATCCCTTAGCGATTTGGAGCTTTGGTTCATTGGAAGAGGGATCAGCCTGTTCTCAGTGCCAATATTTTGTCACTGTATCTTTCCTTTTTTGTTGGCAATGTTATTATGTGGAAGGTATGTTCGACTCATTACAGCAAGAGTTATATTGATGTCAGGATTATAGCAGTACATTTTCAAGACAAATGTTGCAACAAATGTAAAAATTGACAAATAGGTCTAAGAGTTATATCATTCCTTTCCTTTTCCAAATCTTACAGAAAGTAATGCCAAATATGAACTATTCTGCTTCACTAGTACATAATTAATAAGCAAAAGGTCTACCGTCTTTCCACCAATCCCACTTATTCTACAGTTGGGCATAATCTTGCCACTCAAGCAGCGTATAGATGTAAATGTAGCCAGGCTGCCGATTACAATTGACATGTTAAAGACACTTCCTGTGAAAGTCACGTGTCACTCATTTTTCAGGGTGGTGGGCAATAGTTATCGGCCGGGGTGAGTGGTTAGAATTGGAGATGATGGCTTAGCGGGTGATTTTTGGCAAAAATTTGCATATAATTAAAGTAGAATTGAAGCCAATTTTTTTTTTTTGTTTTAGGAGGGTTATGGCTCATGTAAGCTTTTTTTGCCATCTGTGTCCAATTGGGTTGATTTTCCCTCATTTCCTGTTCCATGGCCACAACAGGAAGTGGGAGAAAATCCCTCTAAAATGAGGGAAATTCCTGGTGGTCAGCAGGGTCAGCAGAACTTGTGTCCCCACAAAACATGCAAAACAAACAAACAGACAGCGCCTTGTCCTTGTGTAATACCATTTATTAACCAAGGAACATACAAGTAGACATAAAATACTACTCACATGGTAATCACTGAATGAATGGTACAAGGCAGACACCACACAAAGCTGCCTTGCTAGCTGATGCATTTTGGGGAATATACCCCCTTCCTCAGAGGTCTCATTCAGCGATTACCATGTGAGTAGTATTTCATGTCAGCTTGTATGTTCATTGATTAATAAACGCTATTACACGAGGACAAGGCGCTGTCTGTTTGTTTGTTTTGCATGTTTTGTGAGGAATACTTCCCAGTGGCCTTTTGATGACGGCAGCCTGTAAACGATTTTTGGTGGAGAATATCATTGGAAGTCTGCTGATCGCTGTGGTGTGCATTTTTCTGGAACTTATGTCCCTATTTGAAGATTTCCCATCAATTCCTGTTCTGGTGACTACCCAAAATTTTGAATTTTCTTTCACTTTCAGTGACAACGGTCACCGGGACATATAGGGGGGATACATCTCCCTAATGAGGACAGACCGCAATAAAATCCTGAGTCTTATCTCTCTACACTCTATCTAAAACTAAACAAAAAATAAGATTTTGTCTTCAGTTGCACATTAACAATGTCGTTTAGTGTGCTCAGGCTGCATGCTTTGGGCAAAGAAAGAATAATTCTGAAACAGCTGATGGAGCAGATTATGAAGATGCCGCTGTGATTCAATTTTTTGGAAATGAAAGTTTATTTCAAAGAGACTCTAAAATCCGCCAAACAAAATCTTAAAAACTGCTGCAGGTATAAAACATGGGCTCTTAGATCATAAATGCAGGGATTTAGAGCTTTAACACTTCTGGGTAATGTAGGAGCTTAGCGCTATCTCCCATCCTGATATTCCTATTGATTGGTCACTATGATGAGCTGCCTCCCTGGCCAGTAAGAATGTGCAGAAAGTAGAGGGCAGCTCTATCTAATGGTGATAATACCCTGCAAATTGCATTTTCCCAGCTATACACTGGGTGGAAGATTTATAAATTAGCCCCAATGTGATATAATATGGCACCCCCAGCATTTATTTGAAGACAGCAGATTTGAGCTCACATTGCAGTAGTGTTGTAATGTTGGGGGAAACAGAATTAGCATCTGCTACCATGCCCCGGAAGAATGGCTGACAGATCGAAAACCAAACTAAAAATCCTTGTCTCTTTTCACCTGTCTTACCAGTAGAAACCATAATGTAGACATTAGATAGAAAGCTACCTCAAACAGCTTTTTGTTCTTAAACATTTGTTGTATTTTGTGTATGGAAGATGTCATTTGTAAAGACAATTTGCCTGATCACTGTGCACATTACTGCTCAGACGAGTGTAGCTCCACCACGTCACAGTCCTACCTTCTGAATATAAAATGAATAAATAGTCTATAACTGTGTGCAGACTTGGAAACTCAGCACAGGGATCTTACCAATAGAGAACCAGAGAAATTTAAGAGACTTTGGGTGGGCTGATCCTTTAATTGGCAAATTTATGAATAATAAACAGCCCACCCTTCCTAGTCCCAGTAACCTTATCTAACCCAGACACCCCCCTTTCTAGGTCCTACATGACCATTCATAACAGTGGTTATGGTGTGCTCATGCGCTTTTCTCCTCTAAGCGAAAATCAATCTGGTGTTGGCCATGCCTTTATCATAGGTACCATAAATTAAATGGGGCCATACTCCTACACTATCGTAAAGACGGAGATCACCAGTTCTTAGTCGAAACCATTCAATTATTTTGCTTATTTATTGAAGAAACATGTTTTGGGGTCATGCTCGCCTTGAATAAGCCCCGGAACGTTGGCTAATTGACGATTCTGACATGTTTCTTCACTAAATAAGCAAAATAATTAAATGCTTTCGACTGAGTGCTGGTGATCTCCGTCTTTACGATTTTGGAAAATAGGGCAACATCCGTGTAATCACTACGAGCACCACGACCACTAATCGAGGTCAAATCGCTGTAAGGTGTGCAGGTGACACATCATAACACTACACATAACATAACACATAACTCCTACAATAGACATTCAAGGGGTACGGCCCCATTCAAATGTATTGGGCGTTACAGTGCTGGCGCGGCTAGCTAGCACTGAAGATTTTGACCAAGATGATGTAACTCCATCTATCTGGAGCTTGACACACCTTTCCCGTAGGTCCCTATAGACTTAAATGGGCCCATTCCCCTACACTAGACATTGTAGGTCTATAGCCCAATTTAAATGCATGGGTAGTTAGAGGGCAGGCGTGGCTAGCTAGCGCCAGAGAAGATTTTGGGCCAGATGTTGTAAACACCATCTATCTGGTGTTGGTCACGCCTTCGCCATAGGTCCCCATAGACTTAAATGGGCCCATACCCCTACACTAGACATTTAAGGTCTACAGCCCTATTAAAATGTATGGGAAGTTACAGTGGAGGCGTGTCTAGAATTTGGGCCCAAAGATGTAAACACTAAAGGTAACTAAGGGCTGGCTGGGGGGGGGTCTGGGTTAGATTAGGTTAGGGTGATATCTAGGGTGGGCTGAGTTTTTATTTATGAACCTGAACTTGTACTTTAACCTAAGAGACTAGGCCTGGTGTTATTCCTAACCTGTGCTTTATTTATATAGTGCAGACACAATGAAATACAGGTCATTCCACTCGAATAAACCCCAAGGCTCTGTACCCTGAGCGCTGTGAAGTCCTGACTCGAATTTCCCCTGATGAGCTGCCTTTGCTTTCATAAAACAGGCTATTAAATCTCTAGAGCCTGTCACTAATATAAATACAAGTAATAAATATTTCCTGCAGCAGATAATCAAATTACACAGAAGCGGTGCACCGAATTCTAATTAGAAGAAGCTTCGTGTCTGGCACTCCAATCAGAGTTCTGTGGCAGGCAGGGGATGACACGGGGAGCAATCTTCTGCTTTGCTAGATTGTCTCCGCTCACTGCATGCCTTACAAGGTTTGATCTTCATTTATCATCTAAACCTTTAAAGAAATACATGTTTCTATAGTGTCTCATTGTAGAAATGGATAAATCCCCAAATACAACAAATGAATATTATTTGTCATCGTTTCTGAAGACGGGCCTAAGATACTGCATATAGACCTGCCCATCTTTTATACTAGACACCCAAGAGTAATTTTGTGTCTCCGCCCTCCCTCATTTAATGTAGATGTATACTCTAAGGCCTTATTCACATGAATCATTTAAGTGCCGAGCCCGATTTTTGCGGCAGGAATCACAGGTGCGATTACCTCTGAACACGGGTGGACAGCTGCAGCCGCTCAGCCTGTAGAATGCGATAACAGGCTGACAGCAGCCGTAGGTTGGAGGTAGTTAGCCATAGAACAAGCTTGCGTAGAGGGGCGATCATCTGTTTCTAATTGGAGTTGTTCGCTCCATGTGCAATTACCTCTGAAGATGAGCGGCCAGCTGCGGCTGTTGTCAGCCTGTTATTGCTATGTACAGGCTGAGCATCTGCAACTGGACACTTGTGTTCAGAGGTAATCACACATGGAGCAAGCTTGCATCCAGGGGTGACCATCTGTCTCTAAATGGAGGTAATCGTTCCATGTGTAATTACCTCTGAACACAGCGGCCATTGTCAGCCTGTCGTTGTTTTATACAGGCTGAGCAGCCACAGCTGTCTGCCCGTATTCACAGGTAATGGCAGACAGAGCAATCTTGTGTCCAGAGGTGATCATCTCTCTGTAACCAGATGTAATTATTCAACGTGTATTTACCTCTGAACACATGCAGAGAGCTGTGGCAGCTGTCAGCCTGTCATTGGTTTATACAGGCTGAGTGGCTGCAGCTGACTGCTCATGTTCAGACGTGATAGCACATGGATAAAGCTTGCGTCCAGGGATGATCACCCGTCGCTAACTGGAGGTAATCGCTCCATGTGCAATTACTTCTGAACAGGGACGGCTGGCTGCAGCCGCTGTCGGACTGTCATTGCTTTGTACAGGCCAAGCAGCTGCACCTGCGATTTCTGCTGCAAGAATCCGCTGATTGTTGTTACAGGATCCAACTACAGAATTGAACTCCTTGTGTGAATGAGGTCCTATTGGATGACATTAGGTTTGCTAAAGCATCGTGTATAATAATCAAACATAATCAAGCAAAAAAGACTGTTCACTCCCTCTATTCTTTTTTTTTTTTTACAAGTTCATAAACCAATTTTTTATGCCACACTTTCACTACTTGTATAAAATCTTTATTTAAGAAATAAAAGGTTAATACAGGGGAGCTCCATGATGAGCTCTAATGAGACTTCCCAGCAGTAACAGCTCACTTATGCACTGCCTCTCTCTAAAGGTGGGGGGAATCCCTCCTCTGATCATTCAGCTGTGTTTGAATTCTGAACAGAACAGAATTTCAGGTAATCAAATTATAACTCTTTACAGCATAGAGGTAAACAACTGCAATCAATAGATTTCAGAGCTCCACCTACTGGCTGCCTATGGAAAATGTGAAAAAAAAGATATGGAATATTTTGTGGGTTATTCACTATGCAGCTGAAGGATACAGCCGTAGCTTCAGCTGATCTTTCGGCTCTCTTCGGCCGACTCTGCCCTTCGGTTCAGTTGAACCAAAGGGCTGCTGTACGTACTATTCACAATAGCCGTACAGCAGCCGAGCCAAAGACATATGCTTAGGCTCGACTGAGCCGAAGTGTGGAGAAAGGTCGGCCGAAGCTGACCAATCTCCACACAAATGACAGCTGGCCTGATAGGGAACTTCACCTTCACTATTTGTTCTGGTGAACATTAACACTGAGACTGAGAGGGGAAATTGAGAATTTTGAGTTGTCTCCCAAACAGGAATAGAGAGGAAATCTGCAAATGGGGACACTTGTTCCAGTTTAAGAGGGGTTTCCCTTAATATTTCCTTCCTGGTGTGCCTTTGGGACAGGAAGCCAAGATAATTCTCCCCAATGGGACAGAGAAATGAGAGGGGTCTAACCATCTAAATCTAAACAAAAAACCAAAAAAATTGGGGCTTTTTATATGCTGTGGGTTTCATAGGTCTTATAATAACACCATTTGCAGCTTTGTCAGCATGAACATTATCGGCTCCCACTAGCACACTAGCAGTAATCAAGCTGTTAACATCTGAAAAGGTTCCTTTCATCCTCAGAAACAATTTTTTGTGCCGTGCTGTTTTGTTTTAAAAGATACATTTCATAGCTCTACCCTCTAGGGATAAAACACAGGAGAGACTTGGAGCATTCTTCAGTTTGTTATCTTAGTTATCATTTTATCTTATCGTTATACAGTATATCGTTTATTATCCTTGTTTTAAATTATATCCATTTCAGCTTATGGATGCCACCACAAAAAGAATGGAAATAGCTGGAAGCTCTAGGTAGTTAAATGCATTATGTTCACAATAAATTCTAGTTTGAAGTTCATTGCTGAAAGTCGTGGTTGTTTTCTGGCATTGTTGCTACTTTCACATTTTTTTTTAAGAGAATCTGTCCCCAGGGGTGCAGGTAGACCCTGGAACCCCGGGCACTTGTCTAAGGTCTTCTACTAAGTTGTCTAGGTCTTCTACTGGATGCCTCAGGTCTTTTGCTGAGTGCCCCATGTCTTCTACTGGGTGCCCTGGGTTTTAGTGCCCTAGGTCCTCTACTGAGTGTCCTACATCTTCTGCTGAGTGCCCCACGTCTTCTACTGAGTGCCCCACGTCTTCTGCTGAGTGCCCCACATCTTCTGCTGAGTGCCCAACGTCTTCTGCTGAGTGCCCCACGTCTTCTCCTGAGTGCCCCCACGTCTTCTCCTGAGTGCCCCCACGTCTTCTCCTGAGTGCGCCCACGTCTTCTCCTGAGTGCCCCACGTCTCCTACCAAGTGACCCGGGTCTTCTGCTGAGTTCCCCAGGTGTTCTACTGAGTGCTCTGGTTCTTCTAGTGAGTACCCAGGTCTTCTACTGAGTTCCCCATGCCTTCTACTGAGTTCCCCATGTCTTCTACTGAGTTCCCCAGGTGTTCTACTGAGTGCTCTGGGTCTTCTGCTGAGCATCCCAGGTGTACTTTACCATAATCCCGAGTATGATCCTTTCATTTTGGTTATCCAGTTTTATTGTCACTAGTAACTGAATTTTTTCCTCCTCTATCCGGAGGAGTCAAAGTCCAGAGGCCCATTGCAAGTAATTAAAAAACAATTTATGGAAATGTATTAGATCCGACTTACTCTTTGGAGGACCGCGAGCATGTGCTCTGCAGGGGGTAACACTGCAGAGGCAGAATGAGCCCGTAAAGTGTTGCCATTGAGAACAAGGAAGTCAAAGTGAGTGACAGGATCAACAGGTAATTTCTCTAAGTTTCATTTAAAAAAATAAAGGGCATAGATAGATGATAAAAAAAATGTTGTCAGGCCTGTAACGTTTTGGGGTGGGGGATTGATAGGGGGGTTTACAGCCACGTCAACCCATTACAGCTTCTATGTGCTTCGTCAGGTGTGGTCACATGGCAGTAATCATTGTTATGTTTTAATCCCAGACGGGAGAGTACGCCACAGATGAAGAAGATGAAGATGTTGGTCCGGTCATCCCGGGAAGAGAAATGGCCATTGAAGTTTTTGATCTTCCCGAAGGAGATGAGATGTTTTCCTCTGATGTGGATGTAACAAAACTGGCTCACAAGTTTAAAGAGGTAATTCAAGCGAAATGACTGTCGGGGTTATTCACTAAAGGTTGAAGGGTTTGGAAAAGACAGGAGAAGGGAACAATCTAGGACAGCATAGCTGAACCGGAAAGTGAGCTGAATTGGAGAATTTTTCCAAATCAGCTATGTTGTCCTAGATCAGGGATGGCCAAACTGCGGCCCTCCATCTGGGGTGGAACTACAAATCCCATGAGGCTTTGCAAGATTCTCACAACCACAGACATGACTCCCGGAGAGAGATGCTTCATGGGATTTGTTGTTTCACCATAGCTGGAGGGCCGGAGTTTGGCCATTCCTGTCCTAGATTGCTCACTTCTCCTGTCTTCTCCAAACTCTTCACCTTTTTGTGAATAACCGTGTGTATAATAGATACTGAGCGGTCAGTGATGGTTTAATGTGGAAGCATAGACAAAACTTTTTTTGTTTTATAGTTTTCAATATTTCAAACCCCCATTACGTTTTCACGTCTGCCTGTCCCCGCTGGGGAGATTTACCCCTCTTGGTCCTGGTGACCATTGTCACCAAGACAGGAAGTTACAGGAAGTAGTGTGTCAGTCACACAAGTGGGAAATATTTTTGTAGAAGTTCTGAACGCACACAGTATAAAGAATACCCCCGGGTTTTTAAAAATCCCAGCAGCTACAGACTGAAATGTGAGGGTCAATCTTAATAATGTTATATGTTAATATGGTTTATGTTGCCGTTATATCTTATAGCATTTTTTATATTTTGTATGCAAAAAGTGGAGTTTCCTTTAAAGCTGAACTATGGACAACTATAAAAAGCACAAATTAATTTTATGTTTATTAAAGATTGATTCAAATATTTTTATATGCAACTAAGGTAAGGACCTCATTTTGACTTGAGGGGCGCACATTGGGAAGGCTTACAACAATACAAAACACAAAAATTCCCCAGCCTCAGCCTGCCAGCCAGCCTGCAACCAAACAAGTAGCCCTGTCAACAGTATGCGTTCAAATCAGAGGTTTTAGTTGCACAAATTTTTGGCCAAAAATATGTAGAAGCCACACTGCCGCGCCAAGGCACCTCTGCAAAGTCTGGTCCTAACTCTATGTATCCGAGTCTCCAAGTGTGAGCATATTAATGAAGTTGATAAATTACATGCTGGTGTACCTGGAGGTAGCCAACTCCTCCTAATAAGGTGCAGGGACGCACCGGAGGCCCAGCAACCAAATATGTTGTTGTAAGCCTTCCCAATGTGTACGCCCTGCTATAAAGGCTGGTTATAGATTCATGCATGTACCATTTTTTCTAGTTTGACTATTTTTGGTTTGGGGGACGCACTGGAGTCCCAGCGTGCATATTTGGTTGCTGGGCCTCCGGTGCGTCCCTGCACCTTATTAGGAGGAGTTGGCTACCTCCAGGTACACCAGCATGTAATTTATCAACTTCATTAATATGCTCACACTTGGAGACTCGGATACATAGAGTTAGGACCACACTTTGCAGAGGTGCCTTGGCGCGGCAGTGTGGCTTCTACATATTTTTGGCCAAAAGTTTGTGCAACTAAAACCTCTGATTTTAACGCATACTGTTGACAGGGCTACTTGTTTGGTTGCAGGCTGGCTGGCAGGTTGAGGCTGGGGAATTTTTGTGTTTTGTAATGCCACCAGGTCCGCCTCAACAGGTGCCGCTGTTGGGCTCTCAGTCCATGACCGAGTGCCTGACTTAGGGGGTGACACCAAAATGACTGTCAGTCATTTTGGTGTCACCCCCCTCTAATGGTGTCACCCGCACCCTCTGCACCCACCTTGTGATGCCACTGGTAGGTCATCAGTTTGGCTGTGCAGTCTGGTAGGCCTGTGCAGTTCTCAGGATTCAAAGACAGAATTACAGATCCGTTAGCAGGTAAAAGAGCTCCCATCAATATGTTTCAGTGGTATATTTAACTATTTGCAGTGTGTTTAGCTTTCAAGCAAACTGTTATTAGAGAAGTACTGTGTTATGATATTTAGTTAGCTGCCATGATGATCCCCTGGCTTCAGTGCCTTCTTAGAACAAGTGTGGAACCAGAGACATCCGTACTCCTCGTTCATATGCTTGTTCTAGGTCAGTGGCTCAAAAAATACTGAAACCTGAGTATCAGCACAACAGCTCAGCAGCTATCACTCTCAGAACGAGCTCGGCCATTGTTGCCTACGTTCCCCTCTCATGACAGGTCCCCTTTAAATGAAACCAAGGAGTCTGTGTCTGTTAAATGTCAAATATATAATGACAACGGCTCACCATAAATTTATCACAAAGCTGGATTATCTGTACGAGAGTTTCCACTCTGTTCCCAAGTATTGTTCAGTAGGAAAGTACATATAAATACTATAATTATCAAGTTCTCTCCGACAGCACACGCCAGCACACGCCAGCACACGCATACAAATGACAGAGCTTCCTCCACAGAACAAATCCCGGGTTAAGAATAGCGCAGAGTCGTAATGGCTCCTCAGCTAAGACTTGCATTAGATCTTTGCTGAAATTGGTTCATGGTCCAGGTCTTCTCATGCAGCTGGAAGGTCTTATATTTCCAAACACTTGCTCTCTTTCTAAATGTTACTACATATGCTGAAATATAACAGTACATGAGCTTTCAGTGACAGAAGACTAAAGCTGGTAGTTTTCAGTCCAGAGCTCCTGACCTTGAGCAACCTCCTACCCTAAGTCCCCCCTCATTAACGCTCCCTGTATCATTACCTCTAGCCCTGCCTGTAACCCTAACACTAACAATGCATGTGACCCTAACACTAACAATGCATGTGACCCTAACGCTAATCCTACCACCAGTCCTCTCTGTAACTCTACCAGTAACCCTCCCTCTCACCCTAACACTAACCCTCCCTGAAACCCTAACACTAATCCTCCTTGAAATCAAACACTAACCCTCCCTGTAACCCTAACACTAATCCTCCCTGTAACCCTAACCCTCCCTGTAACACTAATCCTCCCTGTAACCTTACACTAGCCTTCCCTGCAACCCTAACACTAAACCAACCTGTAGCCCTTACACTTGTCCTCCCTGTAATCCTAACATTTACCCTCCCTGAACTCTAAAACTAACTTTCCCTGTAACCTTAACATTAATTGTCCTTGTAACTCTAACACTAACCCTCCCTGTAACCCTAACACTAACCCTCCCTATAACTTTAACATAAACCCTCCCTATAACACTAACCCTTCCCTGTAACCCTAGCACTGACCCTCCCTGTAACCCTAACACTAATTCTCCCTAAAACCCTTGCCCCAGCATTTCCTGTAACCCTAACACTAACCTAACCTGTAACCCTTACACTAGCCCTCCATGTAACACTAACACCCCAAGTGGTGGAATGCCAGGGCCCGCTGTGACCCTTGTAGTTCCGCCAGTGCCTCAAGGCATCTCTGTAGTGTAAATGGGTTCCAAATATATATTTATTTAAATGCAACCAATGTAAGTACCTGAATTTGCCTTGGCATCAGCCTCATGCAGTCCCTGCACAGCAGAGTTTAGAGAGGGGTAAGTGGAATAGCACAAGGATACTCAGTAAGTACCCTGGTCCTAAATATACTCAGTAAAGACCCTGGTCCTAAATATACTCAGTAAAGACCCTGAGCACCTTTAGAGCCCTATTCTTTTTGTGGTTCCCTTGCAGAGTAGCACCAGGGGCCAATCAGAAGCATGCTGACACAAGGAGAGAGTGGAATAACAGAGATGAGCTGATATGTGTGCTGCTTCCCCTTTCACTGTCCAGTCATTGGGCAGGAGTGGGGAGGAAACCTGTAAGTGTATTAATACCACATCCCCTGCTACCAGGCAGGGTTGTGCTGTGTGGCAGAGCTTTGCAAATCTCAGGACTAGATGGACAGAAATACAAATCCTTAGGCAGGAAAAGCAGCTCACTTTTATTTATTTCATTCCTGTATTCAGTTGTTCCCTGGAGTTCAGATTTAAGGGATCACAAGTCCCAACCTGGCCTGACAAGCCTTTCCAGGGTCTGCTGGGATATGTGGTTCCTCATTAGGCGCAGGCGATGGCGTTTTCCCCCACGGCCTCTCTCTGGGGGCTGCCACTGCGGTGAAGAAACCGTTAAATGGGAACTGTGTTTTATGATGCGTTATGTAAGAGATGACTCACCGTAAGCGGCAGTCGCAAGGGGATGTTTATGTTGTCGTTTCGACTCATTGTGTCAGGATGGATGTCGTTCAATACCGACACATTTCCATCTGACATGGCTGTCTCAGGGCAGCGTTCTCGTCTGTAACTGTAACAATTTTTTTTGCAGTAAGACATTTAAATTTACAGCCTACTGCACTGCAGCTTTCCTTGCCGGCCTTCTGCAGCAAATCCAGCGTGTGATCTGCCTGCGCAGCCTTTCAAAGCCTTATGCTCAATTTGTGATCCTCTTATATTCTTCTCCTTTTTTTTTTCTTCCTCTACAGCTACAGATTAAACATGCCGTCACCGAAGCTGAGATTAAGAAGCTGAAAGCCAAGGTAAGATGGGAGTGCACGGCTATCCTCTTTAGCATGCTGAACAGGCCCTGAGCCGTGCATTTGATGTTGTTGTCTTTAACAGGCTTATTCCGTAAGGCGCATAGCGGCGACAACGTGCAAAGCCCTTAAAGTGAAACTCTAGTCCTCTTATTGGTTTTTTTAGAGCTAGGATCAAATGTAAGATATCAAATTCGTAGTTATAGATTTTATGGAAAGTGTTAAAGCCTATCCCTGGGCAAACCAAAAAAACACAACCCTTGCTGCGGGGATACCCCTGTTCTGCGAGGGTCAATTGCATAGGGGACAGGAAGAAGCTATTTTACTTACCTGATCCCCACTCAAGCTTCCTATACCGGTCCCCGCAGCCTCTTCTCCCCTAGACTACAGTGGTCCAAGGACCACAGACGTCATCACGTCTCATGCAGGTTCCATAGACCTGCATTAGATGTGAAGATGCCGAGAGATAGTCCATCAGCTGGGGCGGAAGGGGAGGAAGGTGAATGCTGACTGCCGCAGAAGTGGGGATCTGGTGATTATATCTCCTTTATTTTACAAACTTAAAATTATATTAAACTCTTGTTTTGTTTTTTTTTATTCAGCACAGAAGATCCACAGTTACTTAATAAGGTTTTTTGTTTACAACTGAAAAAACAAACAATTGGATAAGTGCACTACTGTTAGTGTGATGGAAAGGAATACATTGTAAATGTAGTTGATGATGATAATAATCACCAATGTTATTAGTCAATGGTGTGCAATCTACTTGAACTGGGAGAGGGGCCCTGTGCCTGGAAAGAACAAAAAGCACGAAGGATGGAGGGCTACTACCTGGGAAGCTACTATAAATGGGTGATGGGAGCACAAACAGAGACTCACTGTTGGATGAAGGCAATGATGATCCTATGATGGAAGAAAATCGGTATATTGACATCAATGGAGGCGTGTATGTCGTCCATGGATATGATGACATCATATCCATTGATGTCAATATACGGCTCTTCTTCCATCATAGGATCATCATTGCCTTCATCCAACAGTGAGTCTCTGTTTGTGCTCCCATCACCCATTTATAGTAGCTTCCCAGGTAGTAGCGCTCCTTCCTTCGTGTTTTTTGTTTACAACTGCCCCATTTGATTCATGTTCTGCATCTATCATCCCATGGACCTCTCCTCCTGTTCAGAGGTGTCTCCTTTACCTAGCAGGTTGCAAAGGAGACACCTGTGCATCTTCATTCCTGGCTGCTAGCCTGGATCCCACATCCTCTTCTCCCCTGGGCAATGGTGGTCTAAGGACATCATACATCTCATGCAGTTTCATAGACTTGCATTAGATGTAGGGAAGCTAAGGGACATCCTACCAGCCAATGCGGAGCGGAGAAGAGAGTTGACTGCATGGGAAGCAGGGGGTCAGGTACAGAAAATCTGCTTTATTCCAACCCCATGCGTAAAAATGCAGTTAACACTTGCAGTAGCCCTACCGCAAGGGTAGTGTTTTTGGTTTGCCTGGAGGCAACCAGGATAGGTTACTGATAACCTTGCTTCTATTGGGAATGAGCAAGGTGATTTTGCCAAAATTGATTTCGGTGTGAAATGACCAATTTCACCATGGTCAAAATTGGCCAAAATTTATTGTCATGTGGAATAATTAGACAAAATGTTCTTTAAAATACGGCTTTGTTTTTTTGAACAATGTGATTAGTGCTGACACTGTTGAGCATGTGGCTTCGTTTATAAACAAAGGGCTAAGGTAAGAATTGGCGTCATATCTAACGTCATATTCTCAGCCTACGCGGGGCTCTTTTTTTGGTAGAAAAATAGGTTTTTGACAAAAGCACCGTGTCCTATGACTTCCTGTTTGAGCATGTGCACAGAAATACCCAAAAACTACAAGTCCCAGATGTTGTCAATGCAGACAATGCTGAACGTGTTGAGTTGCATTGACATCCAAATGTTAAGATGGAATTTCCTGAAGCATAGATGAAGCCTAGTCTGCCCTTAGTGGAAAAGAATGAAAAATGATCTGACCAGTGAAAGTGAACATTTCTATTATTTCTAAACCATCTCTGATTTTCACAAGCAACCCAACAAATTTCAAGTGTTAACTACAAAAAGGGGGGATTATTCCGCAGCCAATTACAAGACGTCAGTAAACTTTTTCAGCCACTAGTTGTGGGCCCTATAATAGTGATCATTTTATGGTCTGCAAGAACTGTCATGGTTGCCCATAGACATGCAATGATGGTTGAAAGATCCAAGTGCCAAGCTCTGTCCCTTTACAATGTGTTGCTGAGCGTGCATTTTTATGTCTCAGTGTTGGCTTTATCTATTATGACAATCAATCAGGAAAGTCTAACTTGGATGATCAATTTTTAAGATAGCCAAGAGCTGTCTGCAGATCGTGTAGTACAGGGGCGTAACTACAGATCATGGGGCCCCATAGCAAAAATGTTATGGGGGGGACCCCTTGACGACCGCTCTCTGAGATGTGTCTAATGAAACAAAGATCCCAAAGACTCCTCTTGTGCATCAGCTACACTGTAGACTTTGAAGAGGATGATACGATACTGTGTTGTCTTCACATGTTCTAGGTTTAATAACCTAATAGGGCCCTCTTCCACCCCCAGGCCTCATAGCAGCCGCCTGTAGTATCCATAGAATTATGATCATCTCCCAAGCTGGGAGATGATCATCTCCCAGCTGAAACTGACTCTTGATGATTGTCTAATGCTTGTGTTTACCTCATAGTAAACCTTTCATCAACATTACCTAATTAAACCGCAGCAGTCCACATATCTATACCCAACTGTTTGTGTTGCTTGAGAACTTAGTGCATTCTAAAGGTGCCCATACACTGCTCGATTCTCGTACGAGAATCGGGCGAAATCCCGCGATCGTACGAGAATCGAGCAGTGTGAACTAAGACGTGCGACCTTTTCTACTATACAGTCGCACACGAGCTTTTAATGAGCATACGACCATCGCAAGACAAAAGTCATTCGATGGTCGTAAGGTGTATGGGCACCTTTATATGCAAATGCCTGTTCTGCCATAGACTTTTGAGCTGCTACCCACCACTCTCCTAACTCCCCATAAAACTTATACTCTACAATCTTTTTTTAGATTTACCAAACCTATGTAATATGAGGGACAACTGTGACTACCCAGTCTATGAATCCCATTAAGCAGGCCCTTGTACTACACAGTTGTTGGTAGATCTAAATGAGATTCTATAGTCAGGTTGTAGCAATAGCATACGTGGTTAACCTAAGGGACCAATAGTGAGGTGCAGAAGAGGTAAGACTATTACTTAACTTTCTATACCAGGGTTGGTATTTGCATATTAAAGAACCCCATACTCTTGGCAAAAGATGTGAGCGAGCATTTATGTAACTGTGCTGGTTGATTTTTTTTTTAAATTAGGTAATACTTTAAAGTTGGGTACAACTGTAGTATTCATCAAAGAAAGGACAGCACCTCCTCCTTGTGCATTAACGTTTATTTTAAATGTTAATGGAATAGATAAAAGTTACTCACGCATTGTGGGCTGCAAATGGCATGGTATACGCAAATTTCTGCATCCACTCTAACGCGTTTCATAGCCGGCTCTGAAGAAAGGGTGTCCATCCCCCAAACGCATTAGCTTGGATGCAGAATTTGTGCATACAATGCCATTTGCAACGCAATGTGTGAGTAGCTTTTATCTATTCCATTTAAATTTAAAATAAAAGTTACTGCACGAGGGGAAGGCGCTGTCCCTTCTTTGTTCTTTTACATATTCCCAGAGAATGCGTCCCAGTAGCCTTCGTGACTGCAGCCTCTCCTGCACTGTGCAAGGATTGTAACTTTTGGCGGCCAAGCATACAGCCCCGTTCCTCTGAGCGCTTGGAGTGTTGCTTTTTTGGATGTAGTATTTATCATTTAAAGAGAATGTATTGTGTTTTTGTACCCTTTCTTTCTCTCTCTCTTTCTTTTCTTTCTTTCTTTTTCTCTTTCTTTCTTTCTTTCCTTCCTTCCTTCCGTCTGTCTGTCTGTCTTTCTTTCTGTCCTCCCTCCCTCCTTCCTTCCTCTCCTGCTTACTGTCCCCCAATAATGCCATTTCCTGACCATCTAGCTACAAACGGCGGAGAATGAGAAGGTGAGGTGGGAGCTGGAGAAGACACAACTTCAACAGAACATTGAGGAAAACAAAGATAGGATGATGAAGCTGGAGAGTTACTGGATTGAGGCCCAGACGTTGTGCCACACGGTGAACGAACATCTGAAGGAAACACAGAGCCAGTACCAGGCCCTGGAGAAGAAATACAACAAGGCCAAAAAACTGATCAAGGACTTCCAGCAAAAGTGAGACATTTTAGTGTGGCTGCAAACTATTTAACATTCTGGAAATGTTCTCATTTAGAATTTGGAGGAAGGCTGCTTGAACTGACAACTCTGCCTCTGCTGCACTGATCAGCTTGTCCCTGTTCTCCTCAGCTGGACTATAAAACACCATCTTATGTTATAGAGGGAAGGGGGAAGTGTTTTGTAGTTCTAACACACATCCTGTGCAAGAGTGACAATGTTGCTCCTCTATAAATACAGTACAATGAGTGAGCATTGTCACTCCAGGCAGAAAGTGTATTACTGGCAGGATCACCAGGTAAAAATAAAGGGAAAAAAACTTTAAAGTGACAACAGACTGGTAACCTGCAATATATTCTCAGATATTCTTTAACCACCATTCTTTACACCCCCTTCCGGTCCCGGACGTTTTTCAGTGTTCATGAGTTACTTTCACTGACATTTATTCCGTCTTGCAAAAAATGAATTTTATACCATTTTTGGGGGACAGATAGAGCTTTCTTTTGGTGGTATTTAATCACCACTGGGGGGTTTTATTCCTTACTATATAAAGAAAAAAGTACAGAATAGTTTTTTTTTAAAAACCTGTTTTCCCTTTATTATGTTATGAAACATTTATTATTACCCAATTTTTTTTATAAAATATAAAAGATGGGGTCACGTTGAGTAAATAGGCACCAAACATAACAAACATAACAAACTATAAAATTGCGTGCACCTGCGAAATCGCAGAAAACTACCATACCCAAAATTGACCATACGTGACACTTTAAAAGCTGTTACCCCTTTTTTTTTTTACACTTAACTTTATTGTTTTCACATAGTGATAGCACACATACAGTGACAGGTCCTCTTTATGGAGACATCAGCAGCCTTTAGGACCCCTAATGTCAATTAGGGACCCCCAAAGAAGCTGATGAAGCAGAGATCTGCTTCACCAGCTTCTCCTCGGCTACAGAAGCCGGAGAAATTACAGCTGACAGGGAAGTGATGTTATTCAGAGATCTGGGGGGAAATCAGTGGGAGATTGAGTGCTGATCTTCCTCCGATCTCTGTTAATAGAGCCGAGCAGGGCACAGCGAAGCCTGGGATAGGCGACAGCGGAGGGGGGGTGCATGGAGTGGCACAGCATACAAGCAATCAGGCGGCTCTATAGCCTGCCAAATACTTGTATATAAACAGCCATTGCCGGCTTTTTAACCACAGTGACACAGCTTCAGAAAATGTTTTCACTTCCGGAGACCGGAGCAATGTTACCATTTTTGCTATGTGTTTGTTTACCTATAATTTCCATCTTCCTCATGCATCGTACCTACACAAATTATATACTGAAATGTATAGTTGTTACTAGGGATGCACCAATACTAGTATTGGTGCCAATATTGAGTGTTTGGGCAAGTACTTGTACTTGCCCAAACACTCCCGATGCTTATTCTGATACCGGAGCTTCCGTTATCAGGAAGCCCATCGGCGAGTCATTACACACCGCCGGCTTCCAGCTCCATGCTCCCTGGTCACCAAGCTTTCTGCTTGGTCTGGAAGCTGGCCAATCAGGAAGCCCGGCTGGCAAGTCTAAATGGTCTAAAACATAGTGTGAAAGCTGAAAGGATTTAAAAATGTAATTGTTGATGAGGGGGGATGGAAGAACCAGGGAAGGCAAAAAAAATGAGCATATTATACTTATAGCTTTTAAAAATATTTTTGTAGCGCTCACCCCCGAAGGAGCCGCTGAATGATCGGGTCTTCCATTAGCCTGTCTAGGGATTTCTAAAATACATGACTGCCCCAATAGCACTTACCACCTCCAGTGGTCACCGGGAAATTGAAGTCCAGACAATAGCTCCAAGATGATTCTCTTTTATTTCTGAAACTCCAGGGAGAGAGGGTCAGGCACATCCAGGATGAGGTAGACTCCTTGTACTTGAAATAGAGCAAAGTAACTGCTGCCACCACAGACTTGGACCTTTAAGCCGTACCGGCAATCTGTGTGGAGAACGTCTGGCCAGCAGTACTGTCGATGTCCTTGTTCAGGTTCAACTCCAACATGAGTGGCTGACCACTGGGCCTCCAGGCTCAGGCCCCAGTGTCCAGGCTTAGGCCCCAGGCTTAGACCTAGCCCATTCTGTCTCTTCAGCAGGATGCTGCCCCCAGGAGGGCCCTGTGGGAGGGAAGAGACTGTTGCATCAGCCACACTCAGCATTTATCTCCTCTCCCAGCATGCATCACTGCTACTGTCGTACAGTGATTGGCTGGGAGACATGGGTTGCTCTGCTCTGTGTGGTACCACACCCATCCACAGGCTGACACAGCTTCACAGATGGCTCTGTAACAGTTGAACTGAACATAGACTACAGATATACCTTAGCACTCCTATTAGCAGGGCGCTACATTTTCATGATGGTAATAGGAACTGTTGTTGATAGGTTGGTTTTTGTTCATCGGTTGCTTTTAATATAAAAAACAGGCCATGTATTCACCTTGATACAATGGGCAGCCTCAGGTACCAGGTGAATCAGTAACCTTCCTTTTCCTTTTTTTTTAGAGAGGTTGACTTCATGAAACGGCAAGAGGCCGAAAAGAAGAAGATTGAGGACATGGAGAAGGTTCACTTTGCTGAGGTTCAGAACTTGCATTCCCGGGTGAGTAAGACTACAGTCTGCACAGCTACACACCTGTACGGGTTCTGCAGGAAGGTAACTGTGACTGGCTATCCCACATGTAACCTGATTGTGAACCTGTTTGTATCTACGTAACCCTCCCCAACCTCTGGAGATGGCACCCAAAGCAAGAACGAAAGATCAGTCATGCTTCAGGACAGCTGTCATGCTATGTGGGAGCTGTCACAATGTTTAAGACTGCTGTGTTACAAGAGATTGTCATTTTAGAAATAGCTGATGGGGGACATGGCTGTATAAAAGACTTCTCCTGTGTTGCAAGAGGCCGACAGACTTTTTCCATGTTAGAACTTAAAACATGCACCTACAGACTGATGAAATCATTACTCTGCTCTCTCCTTCTGCCATCAAGATTAACAACTCTGTGCAATGCAGTAGAACCTAATGCCCCTCCCTTTTCCAGTGTCAGCTCAGCTATGCATGATTACAGGATCACATAATTATGCTACCTGTTTAAAAATACATTTGCTGTTTTGTAAGGAGTACTTTATATCTGCCTGGAGATTGGCTTTACCATGAATTCAAGGCAAGCTTCCCTGCCCAATGTCAGTCAGTCCTCCCGAAAGTGACATTTTACTTTTTCGTAGATGCTGGAGGATTAAACCCTTGGACTATTCATTTCTTCTGTCTCTAAAGGACAATGTTAATGACATGTCTACATTGAGTTCCTGGGTCTGCAACTCTGATGTGTCCATCAGGGGCTCCCACCATCCCCACTGGATCTTTTTTTTTATAGTATAGAGAATGTAAAGGGAGAAGCTGGAACACACAAAGGTTGCGGGAACCCCTAAAACTCCCAGGTGGACAGGAACAGAGTCAGAAATTATGGCAGGTAGAACTGACTTTTGGAGTATCTAAGACCTGTAGGAAGCCAGGAGTTGACTCAGACCACCCTGCTGCCCGTATAACTAAAATATAACTTTTCCCTTGACCAAGTAGGAAAGGAGCCCTCATCCTGAACTAGACTGCGGTTGTACAACATAGACTTGTGGCCTTCCCCAATTTTTCTTGCCTAATATATACTACATGCTAAGGGTACTTGACCTCCTGCTGTGCTCTAATTGCTAAGGCCCAAAAATCCAAAATCTCATCATGATAAGTGTGTAGTTTAGTAGCTTCTTTGACAAGAAAAGGCACAAAATGTCAGAGCTGCTATGATAATCCATGGTAATGTGGCCACCATGTTTATAAGCCTTCTTGGTTAGCCATCCTTATAAAAACCCAATGCATTTCATTCACTTCTTCTCCCCATTCTTCTAGATCAAGGACCTGGAAGCAGAGGTTTTCCGGCTCCTCAAGCAAAACGGCAGCCAGGTCAACAATAACAACAACATTTTTGAAAGTCGGACATGCCTTGGCGACGACCCCGTATCGGCCGAAGACTTGGGCGAGACCAAGCAAGAGCCGAGCTTGGATGGCTTGAAGGAAGGTTTGTTAAAACATTGAAAGTCTTCTGTGGGCGATTGAGTGACCCTCCTGACAATATGCATACTGCATGTATCGAGCACTGTGCCATAGCCAAGCGCTCCTAACATTTCCCAGAATGCCGTGTAACAATGTACCGTCATTTCCGGATGCTTCGTTGTATGGTATAAACACAGGCTCATCTCTCTGTATATGTTCTCACTGTCCAGATCGGGGTGTGTACACATTTAATACGAACAGAAGGGGGAGAGGGTAATATATACATACATGTTTTGTGTTTTGTCTTCAATTGTAAAACCAATAAAAGGAAAATGTACATCATCGGACGCAAGGTGCGACCACTTAAGCGTGATTCATTTTGACATTCCGGAATCCAAGACTTGTCATGAGGACACCAAGCAATATGCACTACTTTTTGACTTCTTAAGTAATATACAATATAGCATAACTGTTTGTCAGTATTCAACAAAACATTGCAGGCTGAAAGGAAATTTATAAAACACAAATGCATAAAGTCACCCTTTAACTCTGTATTGCTTCGTAGGTCATACATTTTATTGAAGTTCAGACATTTTTATTACCTGAAAGCAGGCTTGCAGTAGAAGTTGCTATTCATGAGCTCGTGTAGGGGGGTGGGGGGTATTTAGCAGGGTGTACAGGAAGGGGAGAGTTCAAAATGAGTGTGGGGAGAAGGTGGATTAGTGGGCCAAAATTTGCAGAGCTACAGGTTTGAAAAAGTGGTGTCGCTTTCATTAGGGTAAGTAGTAATTTGTCACATTTTACTGGACCTGTTCTATAACGTTGATGTTTTTCCGGTATCAAGTATCGAAATTTTGCTTTCAGTACTCGCCCATACCGAGTACCGATACCGGTGTTTTCCGCTGGCATGGAGCCGGTTTCCGGACAATCAGGAAGCCGGGCGGCATGTAATGACATGCTACCCGGCTTCCTGATTGCCCGGAAAGTCGGGCCTATGTTCTATGGCCGGCTCGATTGTGATTGGCCAGAAAACAGGCTTCCCAGCCAATCAGCATCAAGCCGGCTTTCCTCTGACTGGGATGTCTGGTATCGGGGAAGGTATCGGAGCATTTGGCCGGTATCTGTGCATCCCTAGTTGACAACGTTTCATAGTTTATCCAAGCCACTTCTTGAGTGTCAGGAACATATCGCAGCATTTGAATCCACACAGACTCATTCATCCAATCACAAAGGAATGTGTCAAAACAGATGTTGATTGTCAACAGGATAGGAGATGTGAAAGATGTGGAACCACCCTGTTCTAGTTACATAATCCCATCCTTGGTTCAGGAAGTCTGTGTAAGTTATTCATTCGGTTCACATGGCTGAAGGTGTAAATTATTGTCAAAACACCGGGGTAGAGATGTCAACCATGCCACAAATATATGCAATTGATACATGGTGTAGAAGGCCCCCCAATTCTGTTCAAGGATGACTGGTCCTGTTTGAGGTAGATGGCCTCCTTTTCGTGGATGGGATTATGTAACTAGAACAGGATAGTTCCACAACTTTCATTTCTCCCATCAAGTTCCTGGACAACCAATATCGGCCTTGACATATTCCATGCTGATTTAATTAAGGTGTCTGTGCTACCTGTTGGGGATAAAACTGCTGGGATACAGTATGTACCTGACCATCACTAGAACTAAAGAAGTGGCTTGAATAAGCTACAACATGTCTTCAACATTACAGAACAACTCCAGGTGAGTGTGCCTACTTCTAGCTATAACTACTACTAGCTATACCACGACCTGGATAATTGGGAACCTTCATAGAGACTCTTATTATGCAGGAATGGGGGGAGACACCAGATTATGTGTACTACTTTCCTATACACACACTTGAACTGCTTATTTAGCAATTTGGCTTGTATTACCACTGAAACGGTCTTTCTATGTTAATGTGAATACATGCAATCCCTGTTGTAATGTCTTATTAATTGGATCAAAGATTCAGTCTTGTCAATCTACAGTATATAACATCCAGTGTTGACATTATGTTGTACCGGCAGAGCAGTGTCACTTTTGTGTTTATAATGGGCATAGTTAACCTATTCACTTTTTTTTCATACGTTGATACGTGTTGCGGTGAGGCGGACCCTTTAGTTTGAATGGGCCTTTAACAAGCCTCAACGCCCAAACATTCACACCTGAGAAACTAATATATTAGTTTGGGTGGGCTGTCTGTGCATTTTTTTTTTAATGGGGGTGTTGATATGAACAAATCTGCTACTAATAGGTTTGTCGTAACCAAACAGCCAATCAGATTTTACTTTCTAATTCTAAACTTGCACTAGGCTATTAATAGAGAACTGCTCACTGGTAATTGGGTAACATCTGTAAATGTAGTGCCCTAAAGCCAACCTTCAGCAGGAAAAGTCTGCATTATTTGTATGGTTCTCACACTAACACAGTCCAGGTACAAGTCAAGATTTATACATCCTTAAAGAAGAACTCTGGGAATGTAAAGGCTAATTCCACTTTCCCATGCAATTTTGGGAAAATTGAATTACCCCCTCCAATCTGGCCCCACTCTCCCCTGCTACTGAAAAAGATTGTGGGTAACGGCTATTGTTACACAAAAGCCGGACGTAGTCTGAAATGTATTGCCTGTACTTTGTTCAACAGTAGTGATGAGGCTTGGCTTGGTGTGCACTCACTTTGCCTGAGTTTGCCCAAGCCCACTCAAAACTCAGACCCCCACCCCTTCCTCCAGACCCGATCAGTGGTGGCACTTGTGGCAGGGGTAATTCTTGTCCTTTTGTGACATATAGCTGCAGGGCAGGGAATGCACCTCACTGCAACTGATTGGGGCCAGGAGGAGAGGGTAGTGGTAAGACTTTTGAGCGGGCTTGGGTGAAATTTGCACCAAGCCCGGCCTCATCTCTATACAACAGTACCTTTTCCTTCCAAACAGTGTACCCAAAATGAACGAACAGACATGGCTAGATAGCGATTACTCCTGCATATTTGTTAGGTTCTTCTGTGCTTTGCCTGGAATCCTTTTATAATATTAAAAATATAATTAGAAGTGCATATGGAATCATCAAAAATAAAAATGACTGGTGACATCCACAGTGCTGTGTGTTAACAGCCCGAAGAAATCTAATTGATTTTTCCTTCAAATTATGCTGTTCTAGCCGAATTAATTGACTGTGAACACAGACGGCTGTAAACACTGGTCTGTAAAGTGCTGACTCTCATAATTCATAAGTCTGCTGCTCCACGGAGTGTGCAACAAAATAGTCTGAGTGCTTCTCCCAGGAGCAAGATATTTGCTGCTATTTTCTTACCTCTACCTGTGCAGTGTAGTTTTTTAAACAGATCTTGTCAGCAACTTACAAAATTGCAAAAGATAATTTAAATGCTTACTTAGCGTTTTTTCTTTCGATAAACCACTTTTTATTGACTTTCAATGTGCTTTTTTAACTTGCTAGAAAATTAGACTACTATAGGGAGAGTCATTTTTTTTTTAGCACTGCCTGCTGCCTCCTTGCATGTCATAGTCTTCTGTACTTCTGGGAGTGTGTCATTGGGGTCTGTGCTGGACTAGCTCCTCTGCCTCTCCCCTCAGCTCCCTACAAAACATTTTATGTAAAGGAAGGGAAGGTAATAGTGTCACTTTAATGACAGTTCTAAATCTGCTGAGCCTACTGACATCACATTCAAGATAGTGGCACCAGCAGAAGTCTAAGGTATTTTGGATGGCTACATAGGGGAGACTTGTACAGCTAATGACATGCATTGGTCTCTTCAAGTTTACATGTGTAACTCTTTTTGGGGGGAATCATGTGAGATGACCCTCTACATGCCAGATTACATCCACTTTTTCTCAGTATCACAAGTTAAACCAGAAGATCTGACCCTCCACATAGATAGGAGCCCACAGATCTTCCTGAATAAGCAAGTTGGTCCCTCTTCTGAGAACACCCTGTCCCCAGACAATGCATTTGAACTCTTGCAGTAATGCAGGTCCAGTCCTTCAGTATCTTTCCATACACTTTTATTGCAGTACTTGAGGATGGGATGAGAAGGTTGAATACCCAAATCACAGGTTCCTACTGTTTTTCCTGCTGACAGTCTCTATGGGGTTCAACTCCAGGAACACACAGCTTACACTGAAGTAACTCTTCACAAAATTTGAGGTTCTTGGGTTACTCAGTTCCAGTTCTCAGACTGCAGTTTCAGGTTCACTTGCTGCTCCAGACACACAGCCTACTTTTCTAGGAACAAAGCCTGCTAGATGGCAAAGCCCATAAAGCCTATCTAAAGCCAAAAACAACAAATTTACATTTTGCAGCTGACCAATCCATAGATGTAATGACTGCATTCCTTTTCTTTTTGGGTTTCTTCTCTTTATTTTTACTTGGTAATCCTACCAATAACACACTTCCTGTACCAGGGTGGCTGCTCTATTTTTGGAGGAAGCCATGGTTGTACACCTGATTTACAGTTAAGCCTGTCTTCCTCTCTTCATCTTTATTACATGAGGAAACGAGACTTTTTAGTTTGCAGAAGATAGCTTGTAAGGAATATTGCTTGTACTTTCAGTTCAGCTCACAGCAGGGAAGTGCGGTCAGGGGAGGCAGGTGAGGCAGAGCCTCATCTAGTATTATGAAGAAAAAAGGTGTCAGCTTCAAGTCTGAAGGTGACAGCTTTTTCTCCATTCAGTGCGGCTTGTTACAGGTTACACAGCAGGGAAATCCTCCCCGCTGTGTAACTGGTCATGGATGGAGCTGCATCCGGAATTTGACAGGTAGTTAGGTTACACAGCAGCGGCCTTCCCCACTGCTTGTGTAACCTAACTTGGTGAGGCAAGAGCTGTCACAGCCTCTAGTCTGTGTTAGAGGCGTGAGCTCCATGGATGGCTTAAACCAATGGCAAAGTGCCATTGGTCCAAGCTGTCCAATCAATAAAACGAAAAAAAACAGTGAGGACATCGATCTCAATGCCTCACCAGTGAGGAGCAAGTGAGGGACAGGGAGGC